GGCCCATGCTCCACCAATATGTGGAGCTGGGTCTCTCCCCCAGCTCTGCCTGGAGCGGGCCCGGGCCCAAGCCCCGGCCCCCCCTCCGCACATCCTCACACCCCGCCCCCAGAGCGTCCCCACTGTGCGTGGCTCCTCCTCACCGCCTGCTGCTGCCCATGTGCGGCGTTGCACGTGGGCGGGGAGGACGCCTGGGCGTGACGTGATGTCACGGCCCGGGATTTTAAAACTCTTCTGAGGCACGTGGCGGGGCCACGCTGGCTCTGGGTTCAGCCTCCGGGGCCTGAGCGCGGCCTCTGGCCCCGCAATGTGGAAGGCAGAAGGTAGGGAACGGGCTTGGGCGGCGAGGCGGAGGTGGGCTTGGGCTTGGGTGGGGGGAGGGGAAGGCACTGTAGTGCTATTAACGATCCTTGCTGGTTAGGGATGTCAACGTGTAGATGACTACATGATTTACAGATAAGCCTAGACTTATTGGTTAATCCTGTTGACTATACGCATTCCTTCCCCCCTTATTGTCTCTGATACAGAGGCAGTGCCCATCTGCTCCCCACAAGAACCAGATCCGCTGGTCCAACCCCCACGCTGCTGCCTCTGATAAAGAGGCAGCAGTGTGGGATAGAAGAGGGCTCCCCAGGAGTAGGGCTGGAGCACACTGGCTCCCTAATCCACCCCCAGGGACTATCAAATAGTCACATAACCACTAAAATTTGATGTGGTTACACGATTATTTAATTGCACGATATCTAACATCCCTATTGCTGGCACAATGGACCATACTGTCCCTAGGATGATGGCTTACAGTCCTGATCTGTCAATCTGCAATACAGTATCTTTTTAAATTACTGAAAGTAATGTGTGTTCATTAGGGATGTAACAGTATACCTGTTTAAACAGTTAACCAACAAGCATTAGCTTATTGGTTACCATAACTGTTATATGCAGGCTCCTGGCCAACAAGATGCCACCCAATGCAGCTGGCTCTGTATCAGCTCACAAAGGATGGGGCAGCAACTGGCTCTCTGGAAGCAGGGCGGCAGGCAAGAGCCGATGCGCACCAGAACCCAGCAGCCATCCCTTAGGCTCTGCAATATAAAGCTTGTACTGCAGTTCCCACAGTGCAGAGGACTCCCTGGTAGCAAACATAACTACTGAGATTTTCAGTGGTTATGCAGTTACACAATTAACCATTTTTTAAACATCTCTGTTATTCATACTAGGGATGTAAAATCCTGGTTAATCAGTTAAATCAGCT